ATGCTTATAACAGATTAATACGTGCCATAATTTTCTCCAACTGAATAAAAACCATTCATCCATCTACCATATTTTCCCGACCATAAGGCGCACCGTACTAAAAGGTGCAGTCTCAGTTATGTGTAGAGGTACATGTCCTCTACTAACTTTAAATACCTCTACTGTGTATTTAAAAATAGAGCGGGAGCAAAACTGAGTATGATTGTGCTTTATTCATGTATTTATTACAAAGTATTAATCAAACCTGGGAGCTGGCCGTGAGACATTCCTATTGTCGGTGCACCGCTGTGGGGGTCTGAGCGCCTCCGACAGAAATAGTAGGCAGGATGATAATCTGGATGAACTGACTGCAATGATTAAGTTTTCAGGTGGATTTTCTTACTTAAAAACATATTAAAACTACTTTATTCCCACTGATAACAGCAAATATAGCTGCAAGGTGTATTTATTACAAGTATTATTCAAACCTAGGAGCTGGCCGTGAGACAGACACATCGCTGATTACACAGGGCTGTGATCACTCCTCTGAAACAGTTTATTGATGCATAAATGAACTTAAAATCCTGAAACCTGCCGACAGAATATGTTCACATTTATTATCCTATTATCCTTTTATAATCCTTTAGATTATTAATGAATGTTAAGCACTTTGATTTGTCACTGTACTGACTTTTTTTTTCATATTATATATAAACGCACCATGCCTTAAAGGTCTTGTGTTCAAGATGCTAAATACCATGTAGGGGACACGGTATTCATAAGAAAGAAGATCTTGACAGATAAGAAAGGAACTGAAATAAAATGTAAAATTACAACATGCTGGCAGCAGCATCATGCTGTGGTGATACTTCTCCTTAAGCTGTTATATGCAGAGGGTTATGTTGAAGCACGACCTAAAGCATACAAACAAAGCTACAAAATGACTTGCTCAAATCAAAGTTCAGTCTGTGGCAGGGCTGGAAAAGATTTCCATGGATGTTCTCCATTCGATGTAACTGCGCTTAAAGTATTTAATGAAAAAGAGGCAAAAATGGAGGGTAAAAAGATATCTTCAAAAAGAAATTTAAGCTGTAAATATGACACATGTATTTGTGTAATGTTTTCCTTTTTCCAACTTAGTTTCTGCCTCTAAAATGGCCTCAAGTCTAGGCTGGTTCTTCCTGCCTCTGATCATAACAAAAATAAATATGATTCATTATTATATAATCATAGCAATAAAAATTTGCAACACTATCAGTATGTTGTTGAACATAAACTGCAGTAACTGTTACCGGTAAGAGGAACCCCGCTTGGTGCTGCATAGTGACATTTGAGCGATGAGTGCACGTTCCTGAAATAGATTCAGTATCAGCACATTGCATAACTTTCCTGTCATCTCTAAGCACAAGTCATGTCTCATCCAAACAACTGTCATATAAGAGGAAAGGCTTTCCTTTAAAGCACACATGTGTAATGATTGTAACCATGATTTTTCATGTGTGTATTTGGAAGTGCTTGAAATGGAGGTAGTGTGGTGGTGCTTGTGTTATTGTGCTCATATTTGCCTGCAGGAGCCAGCTCAATCCTTGTCGCTGCCGAGGCGGTTACACAGAGCTTTCCCGGCAGACCTTAATCTCAGAAATCAGGGGATAAATTTTTATTTTTATTTTTTTTACAACACTGTTTAACACACTCTAAGAGGATGTCTTCAGAGCACCAATAAAACATAGCAAAAGCTACATTTAAAAACAACTTGTCTGATGTTATAACAGTTTGAGTTTCATTAAATTCCTTGCACAGCCTGTTAGAGAAGGTATTTTGAAAATGTTTGAATGCATTAAATGCAAGGCAAAAATATATTTTCTAACTTGTTTTGCTGAAGGAAAATAACGTGACCTTTTAAATGTAGCAATAAACAAGTAGCTTGTAGTTATCTGAATTGCTGATGCATCAAGATGAAGTAAGGATTGACTATTTTCACATTTTTGATGCCAGTGCAAAAGAAATGCTAATACCTCTGCATAGCTCATAGAGTCATACTTTAGACTGGTTGATACCACTTCAATGGCTTCGAAGCATTGATTGGTCCCTTTGATATCAGCCCACAGTGAGTCTTTATGTCACATGAATGAAATAAACTTGTTTCAGACAAAAAACTGTGTCTAATTAAAGGGTCTGCATGACAAGCTTTCCCAGATTGAATACAAGTTATTGCCCGGAAAGTGAGGACAATATCGGATTTCAATCATGTAATATGCAAAAAAAAAACCTTTTATAGTAGCATTCTGTATTTTCTCATTAGAATAGTTAAAAATTTTAACAAACCTTAATATAAAAGAAAATCGCCTGAATAAAGTGGAATTTAAAAGGTATCTCAACTATTGAGACAAAAAACTATATCTAGACCAACCTGTACCTTTTAAAAACAATAGAACTTTCTTTCTAAATCTCTGGTTGTGGTCTTTGGCAGCGACAACTGCTATCAAATATTTGGCACTATCCATTTAACAATTAATTGTCTATATCACCTTGTTCTTTCGGGTTTGTAAAGGGACTGGTGCATTAATCCAGCAGTTATCGGCGGGGAACTGCTTACACCGTAAAAGAGGTTGCCACCCCATTTTAGGGCTGGTTTGCAATGATACAGTACGTCTTTTTTACGTCAGTGCTTTCACACCAAACTTCTGGATCGCTTTTAAACATGCCAGAGTCTGATTTCTGGAGTTGATTGTGTTGGTTTTAGCCAGTTCTGTACTGTGGATCATGGAACTGTTGAAGATTAATTTCTTTTCACCTCTGTTCACTATTCTGTGTGGGTCAGCCAAAATGGACATTCTTATGCAGACATATGGTGGTCAGAGCGGCTCCAGCATGACCTTATATGGTCATGCTGTAGGCTGTGAGAAGGCCTAGATGCTGACTGTGGGCTTTTGGATGAGACACTTACTGGATGACTTTTAGATAAAATGGAAAAGATGGCAGAAGCTCTCTGCATTTCAGTGGGTTCTCCCCTGAAAGGCCACAACTGATAAACCTGACTGGAATACATTCTGTTAATGCTGAAACATGTTTCCTCTTTTGTGCCCGCTATCTGAGAAACAATTCTTCCATGGATCTGAACCGAGTAACAAAAGGTACATGCAACAGAACCGTGCCCTGTTACTTTACAGCTGCAGGTCTAAGCAGTTGAAGCAAAATCCTGGAGAAGTTTGCTTAAAGTATGAATGTCTGCTGGGCCATCATACCCAAAACAGGAACAGTGGGTTAGATATAAGAGCCGGGAACTTCATTGTTCTATTCCTTCACTGACATCAATCATGAAAGTGGAATTGTTTTAAATAGGCCACAGGAAAGCTTTTCAAGGATGAATGCCTGCTTAAAGTTGCGGTACACAATTAGAATTAAATTCCAGACTAGGCCACTTTCAACATGTTGAAATTTTCAGGAATACTTTGGATCCTGCTCATAACCCAATAAAATTTGAGTTTAAGCAAATTGAGCAGTGGTCACAGTATTTACTTCCATGGGGTATCAGTGCTGCTCAGAACATGGTCAAACTGTGTTCATGGGGCAGAATTTGTGGTTTCCTTTTGAAAAATGTCCTCCATCAATGTGGGTTGTTGAAATTCTAAACTTTAGAATTGCCTTTTTAGCCCTTTACCAACTCCCAAATGGTTAAAGGACTAAACAGCCTTTACTCAGTTGGATAATTTTTCTTCTCTTATTTTTTTTTTTTTTGTATTATTTCTTTACAACATTGCTTGATATGTTGCTTTTCAAGGCCTTTTTGTTGACTTCAGGGTATCGAATAGCTTGCTAAACGGAGCTCGATTCTCCAAAAAATTTTGTTGGTTACGTTGGATTGATGATTTTAAAATGGGTTTGAAAAGGTTTTTCTTCTTTTTTTTTGCTCTGGTTATTTTTTTTTTTATCATATCAATATCAGTTTGATGGTCTGAAACTTTTACGCGTGACAAAAAAGAAGTTAAAAAACTTGTTGGAGGAAGATGCTCTTTCACAGTTCTGTAGATTTCTTATAAAATAAAAGGGAAGTGAGATGACAGCATTTATAAAGCGTGTTTAAAGTTTAACCAGTTTGATCCCTTTTTAAGGCCTAAAGCAAGAGTCTGAATGTCAAAGAAAACTAACTGCAATCAGTGAAGCAATAAATAACTGTAACTTAATAGATTTGTCATTTCAGCTTTCTGGCTATACAGATAATTATATCTATATAAATATATGCATGTAAATATAGTGTCTTGTATGTATAGTAAGGTTCATGCTTAGAAAAGAAAGCGATCAGATTAACAGCTCCTGCCGCTGTTCAGTTACAGTTATGTGCTGATACCTGAACCACAGATGGTGAGGGTTTGTGGCGAAGACTTCAGTAGTAAAAAGGTTTCTAAGCACATCATGTTGTTACACCTCTGTGTAGAGTTTTTGAGATCAAACATTTAATCTGCTGAGAGGCATTTCCTGCTCCTTTAAAATTTCACTTTATCTTGGAGGCTAGATCTGCTGACCTCGGAAAAAGTGTGATGCTTGATCAGAATCAAAAGAGTTTATGAGTCTTTCACAGACTAAATTCAAAGTCCTTAAAGAAAATGCCTTTATTCAGTATTTCCACACACCTTCAGTGAACATCAAGTGTTGCCATTTATTGCATCGATGTGTTTTAGTGTATAAAGATCGAAACAGGAAACAGCTAAAATGTAAGCTTCTGTGTTCAACTTCCCTTTGTATCGTGTGACACAATCATTTCGGCTTTTGTCAAAGAGGACCACAACTGCAACAACTGCAGAGTAGATAAAGTCCTCTTTACAGAGCAACCTAGATTTTATTCCTTTCAAACACTATTGACATTTGAATATTTCTCTTTAATTTTACCCTTAGAAGTAATGATGGCAATTTTAAGTTTTTTGAATTTATAAAACCAGGTCAGGATTGATGATAAATTACTATTTTAATGATATATTTAAATATACTGGTACTGATGTTTATATGTTTCTGTTGTCGTTTAGTTCTTCAGCTGAAGCTGCAACAAAGAAGAACCAAAGAAGCATTAATGAGCTGTGGGATCATGCCTCGTAAGTAAATCTTGGAACCATTCTATTCTTTTTATGTAAAAAATGTTGGGACAAGGTCTAGACACAAATGTGATGCTCTTTATGCAGACGACACCATCTTTACAAGCAATACATGACTCTCTTAAGCCTGCAATTAAATCTTTTTCAAACTACTCAAATTTATGTGAAAAAGACTTTGTATATATAGCTTTCACACAACCTACTCCATAACTTCCAAAACTTGCAGTTAGGATGCTGTTCTTTGTCTTTGTCCTCCTCATCTTTGATTATGTTCTTTTCAGTTTTAGACTATTGTAATAAAAACTACTCTATGTTGTGTTACACTTGCAAAAGTATAAACCTACCAAATGCTCTAAACCATATGGAAATATCTATTATGAGATTTTTATCTTTAAAAAAAAAACCTCACAATTTAGTTTCTGTTGCTGATTAACTGATAGGCAAGTTATTACTCATAAACTGTCAGCTCAAATATAGTTCCAACATAACTTTAAAGATCTTCCTATCTTATGCACAAAAGAATATAAATGCTTTCCAAAAATTTGACTCACGTGAGATAATTTAACTTGGATTAAATCGTTTTTTGATCCCTTAAGGTCCTAAAATATTTGCAAGGATTTGCAAATTCTATACTCCCCAGAGTTTCAACAGGCACGTTTTAGCTTTCATAATCAAGTCTACCTTTTCTTATACTTCTGATGAAAAAAGCTTTTGTTTCCCACACTGCTACGTGTCATGATTGGTTTTACAACTCTGACCCACATGCAGAGAAACCACTCAGTGAGCACGTAAAAGTTTTAACAGGTTTATTGCAGGAGTAACGGGTATGGATTTGGAGTGAGCTGGTGACCCGGAACTGGAAGTAAGAAGGGAAGTTCAATGGTGAGTTCAGGTTCTGCGGGAATCTTGGTAACTCAAATATTTTGCGTGGTTTGGAACTCACGTTTGAGGGGGCCCTTGGTATTCCTTGAATCCAGACTGTGTGGTGAATCCAGGGTTATTGTTGCACACGTTGGAGGGCGGACAGGTTAGACTAGCGTAGGACCCGGAGGAGCAATGGACCGGACTGTCACTCGGATTTCCGCTGGGTACTTGAACGGAACATGTGGAGGTTTTCCCCTGCTCAGTGTGACTCGGTCTTTCCTTCCAGGGGAGACAAGGTCCAGGTGTCCAGTTACACGGGAAAGCTTCCTGCCGAGGAGCAAAGACAAAAAAACAAGTTAGACTCAGCTAAACTCAGCTTGGCTAGAGAACCTAAAACTGACAAACACTCTGGTGTCGAGGTAGTGACAGTCCACTGCTCAAATAATCCTCCAGATAATGGTCCAACTAGCCGCAGGTGTGCAGTGAGGGACAGCGAAGACAGGGCACCTCCTGGTGGTGAAAAACGGAAACACAAAAACAGGCCACACAAACTGGATTCCTAACACTATGGTATCATCGGGCGTGTTTGCCTTCTAGGCTTACAAAAACAATGTATAATGTATACAGTTGCTGAGACGGTAAGGGTTCTTGCAAGCTACTGCTCTGAGCAGAGTGTGTATATGGGTGTATATGCTATCGCAAGGGTAGGCTAGTCAGCTCTGTGTCACTTTTGAAACAGTTTGGTAGGAATATTAATTCCTGGTGAGAAGCACTTCACTGCCGAGCAGCATAGTAAACCACTGCATACTTTGTTCCATGCGTACTATCATGGAGATGTTTGTGGAAACTTGTGCGCAAGAGCATATGGTAGTTTTAAGTTGTTGATCTTAAAAATCCTTTAAAGAAAGGGCAAAAATAGTCCCACTTTTATATTAAGGATTCTCTGTATGGTTTCATCAGCAATAAGGTTTTAGGTTTGAACCCAAGTCTTTCTGCATGGAGTTGAGCTCTCACTGTGTGGCTTGGGTTCTCTCCATGTATTCTGGCTTCCTCCTACAGTCCAAAATCATGACTGTTAGGTTGATATTTTAAGGGTATAACTGAGTGATTTCTCTATGGTCCTCCTGTGCCCCCTTCCATTTTTCGCAGTGGGCAACGGTCCATATGGCTGATATATAATACAATCACTGGTTCCTGCATTTAATAATGGTTTTAGTAACTGTGTTTGTTCTTCATTGAAAAGTACGCTAACTAATACAAGTTTGCATATTGATCACGCTGTTTGGTTACTTGCAATCAAATGCAGCTTGTTGCACTGAAAAAAAATCTAAAACTAGATAAGTCATTTTTTCTTAAAATAAGTGCATTTCTTCTTGAATTGAGGAGATAAAAGAGACATCTGGCCAATTGAACAAGACAATTTAGATTTAAATTAAGAAAACACAATTGCATTGTCTTATTTCAAGTACATATCATCTAATTATCTTATTTTAAGAGTAAAAACACTTATTCCATTGGCAAATTATCTCATTTACCTATTCAAATTCAGGCTAAATACACCTAATTTAAGAAATGTTTACTTATTTCTAGCTAATTTTTCAAGTGTGCTACAATTTGATCTATAAAAGAGACAGTCTGCTGCAGAGAAAGGTTTTTTTTTGGGCAGGTAGAGACAAGAAGGGAGCTGAGTTACACGTATGTGATGCCGATTGGTTTAGGACAGTTGAGATAGAGGCATACCTAGTGCTGACTGGCTGAGTATCTGTAATGTTACTGTAATGTCAAGCATGCTTTGAACATATACTGAGGGGAGATGATTGTGCCTTGATGTTGATTCAGTGAAAGCATTCTTTAAGAATAAAGTGCTTAGGGAAGTTAAAGGGTAAATGTTCCTGTGATTTTTAGACTTTTATCTGTATTGGTTAGAAGCGGCTCTAATCTAGGGAAGCTCCTCACATCATCTCAACACTAACTGACAGCTGCTGCCTTGATCAACAGATGTCCTCAACTGTCTCGGTGTTATACTGATTTCCCTTGCATACTTTATGTTTATTGTTTCACACAGAAATACAGGGATTTTACAGTTCTAATGTGAATATTATCTGAATAGTTTAACCATTTTAATTCATGTAGAAAGTTTATTTTATTTCTGTTAACTTTTTTGAAACAAATGAATGGCACTTAACTTGCAAAATTATAAAGTTCTAAAACATCTTACAGTTATTCTATTACAAACAATATATACAAACAATATGCATAATTCTATTGACATTCACACAACCTTACACACCAGATTATTTTCAGATATGTAGCTTTTGACCTTGACTAATAGCAACACTTTATATTGCATATTCAAACCTTAAGTTGTATTTAAAGTTTTGGTAACAGGAAACTGATTTTCTTTGACATTTAGTTCAAAGTTATTATTTTTTTTTACATTTAGATCACAATTACTACTTAGTTGCTTTGGCTAGTAACAAGTAACTTTGGATGTGTAGTAATAAAGTTACAAATTTTGTTGCTTTTTTGTAGAAGTAACTTGCAAATATAACTATACACTTTTTAAATAAACATTCCCTACATTGCTGCTAAGTGTTGACCCTCAATATTAAAGCAATACCTCTTTTACCCACATGGGGTCTGAATATTGTTAATAAAAAATATTTATCAAAAAGGCTGCCACAGCCAAAAAATGAGGAAAATCAATGTTAAACCTTTGCAGAAAGAGCTCATTAAGGCTTCCTACTTTGACTAATTCTTCTTTAATTTTTCCTCTTATAACCTGAACTTCTTCAGACATATGTAATCACAACAAACTGAATTGAACCAGCTCTAATCATGTAGTTTTGCTCACATACATCAGATAAACAAAGACAAATCAATAACAGCAATAAAAGAACGTATTCATCTAAGTGTCGGTTTTGATGTGATCCCCCCTCAGACCACCTCTGTTTACTGCGGCGTGTTCTCTTCTAGACTGAACATGAGAATGCACATAACTGAGATTCCCTTCATTGCCACCATGTTTGCAGTTGTCTGTGACTGTCATAGAGTTCCTACTAACCCATATGCAGAAGCAGACACAAGACCCGAATCTTGAAATATGAGAGAATTAATTAACACGAAGGACAATTATAAATAAAAGAGCCAGTAGGGTTTTTAAAGAAAATCCATAATGAACTTCTTACATTATTGGATTATATGAATCATATTTATACTGCTATTAAAAATACAGTTAACATATTTTTTTAAACATGAAAAGTCTGTTTCCTAAGTAGTTAACTGTGGAAAAAAGCCTCTTAGCTGAATGTTAGGTGTCAGGAGGTGCTCTGTCTTAAGGTCGAGGTTTGTTTTTCAGTCAGCAATGTGAGAATTACATTCAACTATGTCTGGTTTGAGTGGGATTGTGGTTAAGATGATTCTACCGTCTGCTGATAGTTGGTAGTTTCAGTCATCAAAGCAAGGTGTGTAGAGGTCCTGCAGCAACTACAGATATGAATATTCAAAAACTGCTTTCATGCTGTTTTTCAAAAGATTTATCCATTCCCCATTAAACTGAAAAACGCTGCGTTTCCGTCTTTTTTTATCTCCATTTGTAGGAAACCACATCTTTCTTGCATTACAAAGCATTTTACAAACTCTATCATTACGCTGCTGTTCCCTGCAAGTGTTTTGCATAAATTTAAAACTTCTTTTAATGCATACAGCTGCTCATTTAGGCCCATTGCCATTATTCATTTTAGTGAATGGTGAGTTTCAGTCACTGCCTTTCAACACCTGTTTCTGATATCCTGTCATGACAGACTCATCTCTTCTTTATTATCTATTCCACCTAAATTACTCTGGCTCGTTTTGACTTGAATTAACAGCCTGTAAACTATTTATGTGGATTTTCTCTACATTCAACTCACTGCCATTCAGCAGCATAAATGCGTAGATTACTTCTTTGCTAGATGTTGCTAGCTCTTATCTTGGCTGGCAGGCAGCGGTAAAATGAAGGCTTAGATAAATTAGATTGCACAAAAATTAGATGTACATAATGCAATATGCCTCTCCTCACAATGACAAATGAAACAGTTAAGGTTTTCATCATCAGGGTATTGAGAAAGCACCAAATGTGGGGATTATAATGAGTTGTGACAGAGCCACAGTCTAACAGTGATCAGCTGCAGTGTAACCGCAGATCGTTTTATTTCTGTTCTCATCCATAATTCTGGGTTGCCCTCTTTCTGGAAACTGGCTATGACAAAACGACATAAGTTATTTGGCACGCTTATCCATCAACTTTTATTCTTCTTATGTAAAGACTCTGTCTTTGTGTCAAGCATAGCTACATTGCTCCAAAAAAAAAAAAAGTTTTTCCTATAAATCAGATTCATAATGTAACTAGGAAAGCTAATTTTTAGCTTAAGCTACATTTTTTTTATATATAAAAACTGATTAAAACTTCCTCTGGGTTAAATTTGTTTTAATATTATACTTTAAATGTTTTTTGCAGTCTAGCAGTACCTATATGGTAAAAACCCCATCCTCTCTCCATGTACATTCAATTCAATTTAGTTTATCTCTATAGCCCCAATTCACAACACGTCTCCTGAAGGCACTTGATAGAGACAATGCAACCAGATCATACAGTCAGATTGATTTAAGGTTTTCTTCTAAGGAAAACCAGATGATTGCATCGACTCATTGACTTTCTGCAGAATGCTTGTAGCAACAGTGGAGAGAAAAACTCCCTTTTAACGAAGAAATGAAGAAACCTCCAGCAGAACCAGGCTCAGTGTGAGCGACCATCTGCCGAGGCCGTCTGAGGTTCAAGGATACGGAAGTCGACAAAGAAAGAGAAGCTGACATGCAAAAGTCAGGGATACATCTGCCCAGAACTTTGCACAATTTTAAACCTCACCTTAGTTCTTTCTATTTTATAACCAAGGGGCCTAGAAATCTTACATTTTAAAGTGGTTTAACCAAATTTCCCCAGGCCTCATAAACAAGGCCTAGGCTCCCTACTGACACTTTCATCATGCAAATAATAGCATTCTCAGCAAATCTAAAAATCATTATGTTTCAGTTCAGAGTGTTGGTAATATATTTTTTAACACCTGAAACTGTATTCTTTATTCAAAGTGGCACTACTGTCCTCTAATCCCATAACATTCTTATACATTGCAGACTAATGCACCAACTGTTCATTTTAAGGCATTCTAGAGTATAGCAGTCAATTCTTTGCATATCACTGAATAAGTCCTGGTCAGAGCTGCTTAGCCATGGAAACCTATTCTTAAAAGCTCTCTCTTCTTTAAGCTAAACTGAAGCCTGCAAGAAGTCTGGAGCTTGGTCTCTACAGACAGAAGAGTATTTATGAGAAAGGAAATTCCTATCTACCCAGCTATCTAAATACCCAAATGCAAGACAACTATTTGCACTGAGCTTTTGCACTTTGCACCTCTTATGTTCACTTTCATCATTAGAGCACAATAAGATGGACAATATCTGTGAGTGCAGAGTTCATGCGGCTGTATTGTGTGTGATATAGCCTTCATGAAAACTGAATCATAAGTGTGAACTAATGCCTCAACTGGTATGTTGGTATCTGACAAAAAAAGGGAAGTTTTATAGTACTGTAAAATTATTCAGTGCTCACACTTAGCTTCAAGGCATAATATAATCTAAGCTTACTTTGTCAATCATATTTGAAGCCTGATTTTTGGAGGTTTTCATATGGATTTTTTTTTTTGTCACTTTAAAACACTAAATTCACTCAGTCTGAAAGATGAAGAACATTTTATATATCTGATCTTTTGGTTTGATGACATTTACAGATATGCTGGACAGTTGTACCAGCTGACCAGTTGGGTTGTAAAGTAAAATACAGAAAAAGCTTTCAGTTCACACACCAGGGAGAACAAAGCTCTAGTCAGCAGCAGAGTGAACATAAAAAGACCATCAAGACCAGAAGGAGTGATGTGGCTTGATGTTTTCAAAGTTTAAAGACCAGCAGTGTTAGTTATTCACTCAAGCACATAATGGGGTCTTTTCTCTTTGACCTGATCCCACCCATCTCTGTTGTATTCCCCTCAGTCTGACGTGCTTTATTTTCTCTTTTGGTGAATCCTCTCTCCTTCTGTTTTTGGGTTAACCTTCAAATGGATTTCTATGCCTTCTACTTTGAAAAGCTGACTCCCTGCTCATCCATCCATCACATGAACCACTCATTTTCACTGTCAGAGAAAGACAGGTTCATACCCTTCCAAAGAAGCAGCATAGCCCCCTTGTGAAAGAGTCAGGATTCCAAGAGGGGCTGATGACTCCAGGGTGTGGAACAGCAGAGTGACAGTGTGCAGTGAGGTGAACTGAGGCTTGAGCAGGTACCCGGAGCCTTGCTTCGAGATGCTAATCCAGTCATATAGCGGTGGATGTGTGTGTCTACAGAGCAGAGAGACATCACTGAGACAAAAGCCCATTATCTTCTGAGCTGCAGTACTTTTGGCTTCACTGAGACCATCAAATTGCAGTAGTGGTAAATCTAACGACCAGTTAAGCGAAACTAAAATGTCCATGTTAACATAGCACTAATATCCAATTTACACTTTTAGATTTTAGCTTAGAGAATTTGTCTATATATATAATATATACAGCAATACCAACAGCGATGCTGTTTAGCAAAAAGTAAAAGTGGTGTCCTAAAGAGAAAATAAGATATATTTTATGAGATGATAACCTCAATGAAAACTCTGGAGTATCAGCAAATATTTAAAACATGATCTAACTGATTTTATTTAAAGCAGACAGGCAACAACTTATTATATTTTTAAACTAAACTTATGCAGTATTATATCATCCATCCATCCATCCATCCATCCATCCATCCATCCATCCATCCATCCATCCATCCATCCATCCATCCATCCATCCATCCATCCATCCATCCATCCATCCATCCATCCATCCATCCATTGTAATATTAGCTGTCAGTTATTCAATATCATAATATATAAAATGTCAGACATTATTTTTCTAAAGAACATTTTTAACAAAAAAATTATGAAACATTGCAACATTTTTGTTAGTTTTTGTATTTGACAAATCTATCATTCGCTTAAGGTTTTTTGAATTTATAATTTTGCAATGTATTCAAGTCTTTTTTATTAATTGTTCTGGAGATTAAATCTTACAAGACACTTTATATGTATGGGTAATAACATGAGTATGTGGATTAAAGCTGTTGCAATGCCTTTTAGCCTCCAAGGCAGGGTGCCACGGACCAAACTAGCATGTAATTTGAAAATAGAAAGTTGCAGAAACAAGACTTAACCAGCCCTAGCTTCAGTCATTTAAGTGTTAAAGATGCCTTTGTTTGTCTGAGAAAAAAAAAATCCCCATAATATGGGAGGGCGGTTACTATAAAGCTTAAAGAAAGAGGTTTAACCTAAAGAACTAGATATTTAAGCCTAAAAAAGCAGCAAACTCTTATACTAAGCGTTTTCAAATGCCTTGTGGTTTCTTAGTACCCCTAACCTTGTCATTTCTGTGTGGTCATTGACTTGCACGAAGCTTTTCTGAAAGACTTTAAAGCTTCCCATATTTCAGAGTTATAGCGGCTTTATATCAGGGTTTCAAATAGAAGCCCTGTCTTCCTCACATTATGAGTGATCTCTCCCCTTTTCAAGGAGCTGCTCTCAGAACCACTTCCCGAATTACAATACATTTCCTTCAGCCATTGTGCAAATGCACAAAAGAAAATACAACACTGTAGGATGACTGTAGACATTTAATCTGCTGATGTTGATATCAGGCAAAGCTTTGGCCATAAAAGGACAATGATCTCCCTCATCAATAAGTCTATTTGTATGTGAGTGATGTAGGAATGATTATTTAGAGCAATTAAGCTCTTTTCTTGTATATAAATAGATTCATACCTGTGGTAATGCAGTCTGTGTTCTTCTCTCAGTTTTTTGTCTTTATTCTTTCAGCACTTAAAAGCTCAGCTGCCTTCCCTGAGCAGAGACGGAGCTTGGAACGAGCAAAGGTGAGAGATTTACCCTCAGAGCAGTAACTAGGGTTTAAACTGGTTTACTTTTTGCCTTTAAGAGGCTTAGCAAGATGTGACATTTTTCCAGTACCTCTTCAATAATCCGGGGGGTACAGAAAATCTGAACGGATAAAATGAGCTGACATGTAACCCTCTGCTTGGAATTTGAAGAAGGTTATAGGAGGTTCAGCATACTCTTATTCACTAAATATGCAAAACTGCCTCCATCACTTATCTATATTTAAAAGATGGCGGTGAAAAGACACTTGACTGAAACATAAAAACAAATCGCTTCTATACTGCCCATCTTAACTTATTGATTAGATTATTTATGATACATTTGAATTCCTGAATCTGAAATGTTGCATTCAACACTTTTTAAAAAACTTTGTTAACTTAGATTTGAATAAGATGTTGGCCATGAAAATCCTACATTTAGCACACTGTAGTTGATTTAAAGAACATATATAGTAAGATATATATTACATATATATACTATTTAGTAACATATATAGTATAACAACATATATAGCAAAGCTTGGTCTTGTTGTTCCCCATTTGTTATCACAACATGACCAGTTGACAGTAGAATTCAATGATCTTTGCAGTGTAGTGCACTTTATTATTAGAACTTAGACACAAGGATAAACATTTAACAGGTGTATGTTTTGGCAGAATGAACATTGCAATAAAAGGAAGAACAGGTCCGGGTCAGAGAGTCCTGAGGCAATCAGAAAGCACATTTTGGATGGTACGTGACTCATGGTACTCCAACAAACCGCTAATTTCTTGAAATCGAGAAAATCTTACAAATGTTTATTCATTTTTAAATTTCTGTTTTCAATTTCAAAAATATTCCCCATCTCTTTTATGCATTCTGTAGAGAAGTCTACAAAGATACCACTTCAAGGCAAGCAGCTTCAGCAGAGGAAGGTTCGCCATGCCGATGAATTAAGCAATAGGATTGCTCAACGACCGGGGCCCATGGAGCTGATTCACAAAAACATCCTACCTGTAAACTCATACTTTAAACAGCCCATCACAGGTAAGGCATAATGCTTTTTGGTTTGTTTTTCAAGGCATGCTTACTTACAAAAATAAACAAACAAGGACAAGAACAAAAGAACAAGCAAGCAAAAAATTGATTTTAGAGCTTTAAGTCAAAGAACGGACTTCAATGCTAGTAAACTATCCACCAAATGCTAAAAGAAAACCTTAATATTATTTAACTTTTGAAGGCTTAATTAGTTCTTGTGATAACTGTTTGTTAAGAGTCATGCTGTGTGATGGTAGCAATGTTGAATTGCATGTTGTAGCTTAACATAATTTTTCTAACCAATCATATTAATAAAAGTCTGCAACTGAGCTTTATGTAGCATGTTAATGTAGTAATCATTGACCCAATCCAAAACCACCCATGAGCATTAACCCTTAACAAGCAAGTGACTGGTTGTCATTTTGTGCACACAGGGTGTATACAAAACAAACTTCCAACAGTTAATGGGCAGCTTACAACAGTGAAATCAACATTACCATTTATAAAGTGCAGCTGTGATCAGAATGTAGACAGTTTAGGAGAAATGGGAAACCCGTGTAGAGTCAGGCAGCAAAAGGCATTGATATGGAAAGGTTCAGTGCAGTGCAAAATAAATAAATATGGTGCAAAATGCAATAGAACATTGAACTGTGTTCTATTTAAAGGGGTTATGAGAACAAATCAGCCACACTGGTAATGCGAATATGATGTATTCAAGTGCGATGCAGTCTTGATTAGAGTTTCAGTAGTTTAACAATCTCATGGTAGCGGTTAAGAAGCTGTTGCAGAACCTCCTGGTTCCGCATTGAATGCTGTGAAGCCTCCTCCCAGAGGGTAGGAGGGAGAACAGTCCATGATAAGGGTGTGAGAGGTCATTCATGATGTTTTGGGCACAGGACATGCAGCGCTGGGATGAAATGTCCTTAATGGAGGGAAGAGGAGCCCCTATGATCCTATCTGCTGTTTTCATCACTCTCCTCATGTTTTTCCAGTCTGAGGCGCTGCAGCCTCCACCCAACACAGTGTGACAGCTGGTCAGAACACTCTCTATGGTGCTTCTGTAGAAGGTGGTGAGGATGGGTGGGGGCAGGTGGGCTCTCCTCATCCTCCACATGAAGCACATGTGTTTCTGTGTGGTCTTGACCAGTGAAGTGTGTTCACAGACCACGTGATGTTGTCTGTGATGTGCACCCTCAGGAATTTGGTGTTGAGCTGTTGATGACCAGAGGATCATGGTTAGGTCGGTTCTTCCTGAAGTCGACAATGTTCTCCTTCGTCTTCTTCACGTTCAGGATCAGGTTGTTGTCTCTGCACCAGCCCACCAGCTGCTCCAGCTCTATGTAGTCCCGGTCGTTTACGTCTCCGATGAGGCTCACCACTGTAGTATCACCTGCAAACTTCATGATGTGATTGGTGGTGAACCTGGAGACGCAGTCGTGATTTAACAGCAGGGGTCTCAGGGCACTACCCTGAGGAGAGCCTGTGCTCTAGGTTGTGAGATTAGATGTGTTCTGTCCAACCCTGACTGACTGAGGTCTTTTTGTGAGAAAGTTTAGAAGCCAGTTGAGTGTGAACTGAAGCCTAGGAACAGCATCCACACATGGGTGTTCTTCTCCTCTAAGTGTGCTAAGCCTATGTGTAGAGCGGAGGAGATGGCGTCCTCAGTGGGGCGGTTTCGCTGTTGGTGAACTGGAATGGGTTGAATGATGTGGGGAGACTGGAGATGATGTGTTCTTTTACCAGCCTTTCAAAGCAGCATAGTGATGGGAGTCAGTGCAACAGACCGGTAGTTATTGAGTGAGGTGACCTGAGGCTTCTTTGGGATCAGAATGATGGTGGGAGACTTAAAGCATGCTGGCACTATGAATATTACGTAACATATATGCAGATGTAGAAATGTGGAGTGTTTTTATATTAAAACTGTGATAACACTCACGTTTTAAGTCTTCTGATAGGATATCTCACCAGACTTTTTTCCAGCTGTGATTAATCTGCTGATCTATGATGATTTTTCGTAAGAAGTCTCAGCTTATCTAATGACACACATGCACAAATTCATAGTTAATGATTTATGCCCTCTCATCTGACAGACATGATGTGAAGATATCCCTTTTATTTCTGCCTTTAAAGAGCTACCACGTCTGTAAAAGCAAGATTTTATATTACTTGAATAAAATTACAGATTGCACTCTAAATTATTCAATCAGATATCACTCACACTAATTGTAATCGAACCTTAGATTTGCATATAGTAATGTAGTTATGTAGAGAGGAATAGCACACATGAATATGAAGACTGCCATGTAAAATAAAAAAAACACCTTGTAAAGGTCATCTTATATATGTCAACATATACATTATTTTAAATATTAATGTCCACAATACTGATACATTGTAAGACCAGATAAAAATGTAAGGTTAGGGTTACCTTTCAAAGTTTTCTGTGGGACCTAAAAACTAAAATACTGTGTGAGGAAATAGGTTACACTGGAGTAAGGAGATCGCACAGAATGAAATAGAACACCGGCTCATTTATTTCCACTTCAAATGACAACAATAAAATACAAGCATATCTAGTGGTGGCGTAGATTATTTGTTTTAAATCTATATTAATGTAACTGTAATCTGTAATTTGTTTGCAAAATCACACATAATTTTGTCTTCTTACTTAAGATTTAAAAAAAAAAAGATATACTTTTTTTGCTAATTTGTTTCTGTGTTTTTGCTGCAAAATAAAAAAAGTCTCCCACTTCCAATGATGGATGTCGAACTTTAACGATATAGTGTCTCCAAAAATCTGACTTTGGGACAACTGCGTTTTGAGGATAATATAAAATCTGTATTTAGAATGTCTCTAGTGATGTGAAGATCCCGAGGTTTTGAAAAATGTATCATGACTTTAGCTCTAGAAATAAAATAGGCTAAATAAATACCACAGAAGCTACATTTAAAAAATTGTCCCACTTTATCCACATGCACCAAAGCAATCATCAAGAAGCAAACAAAATGTGGTAATCATTTGTAGATGTCAAGGTAAAATAAAATAATAAAAAAAAAAAACATAGCCTATCAAAAGCGAAGGAGTGGAGTTCCCTGCTGGTATTGATGAGGCGTACAGTGACGCAGAGGTAGATATGATTATTGATAAATGTCCGGTGGTCCCATGTCAGTGCTACACACATCACCTGAATTAACTTCTCATCTTTTGCCGCTTTCTCTGTGGCGTTCTGGTCATGTATTCTCATGATAGTTCACCTCGCAGGTTGTTTATAAGATGGGTCACCTGTGGCTGCCTAGAGAACACGCTCCAGACCATCATCTTCAACCATGGTGATTGGCCAGCAACTTGTGACTATCCACTGAGCGAGGAGATTGGTTAGCTTGGCTGATAGAGCTCTGCTCATGGGCCACCTTTCGCCATCTTTCGCATAGGCTAAGCGATGCTTGGCCTTTAGGTGGTCCTTGAGACTGGAAGAACTCCTACAGTAAACCAATACTGCATTGCACAAGGTGCAAACAGGTTTAGTCTTGTCGAGTTTTCCATCGGGAAGATACGGTGGCCCTGAAGTGCAAACTGCAACGACAAATCTAAAAGCTCAACTACATTAAGGAAATCGCAACTACATAAAGCAAAGCGCAACTACATTAAGGAAAACACAATTACATTAACCTACCGGAAAAGGTAGGTAACAGAGGGAAACATGAGACATCGCTGATTGGACGACGGCGCCGTTTGACCGCGCAGCCAGCCCATCCACACCGGCCCCCCAACACCACCCCCGCCGGAGCCGCCCAGACCCCCACACACCAGGCCCGCCTGCCCCCCGAGAAAACAGACATGCCCACAGGGTAACAAAAACCTGGCCACACACAAACACGTGCACGCCCACACACCCAATACACACATTAAACAAAGCAGTAGGTAACTCAGGACATTATTGTATCACAGGATAATAAATCAGCCCCATGTTGTGTTTTCATCATTGCCTGCTGATGGTGAATTAATGGCCAGGAGTGTGTTCTACATAGCTGTCTCCTCGTATAATTCAATAACACACATCTATTTCTGAGGAAAACTTACAACAGTGGTTCAGAGGATTGTATCAGGAGCTGTTATTCCCTAAATCCCTGTGAAGTCTGCTATGATACGCCTGAGGAAGAAAAATTAGCATGGACTCGGGGACTTGGATGTATTGAGGTCCCATGGGATGACTCAACCTGTCCAACAATTGTTAGCGAGGAACATTTTGTTCTGGCTTAACAGGTGCACTTTAATTTGTGTAGTCTCCATTGTTTTCAGCAATGTTAATTGGTTGCCTGCAAAACATTATGTGAAGAGAATGTAATCAGCAGCAGCAGTGAACAGGAAACTTCATTCTTAACAACCTACTAATGCAAAATGTATGCTGATAGGCCTTTTTACATTATATTACCGTCAATACCTCACCATACATCTCATAAGAAACCCCAGTAAAATACAAGCATCAACTATAACAGGAATTGTTTTTGTTTTTTTCCTTTCTCTCAAGAGAATCTACTTCATGACAGATTGAGATCCAGATTGGTCGCAGTTAATATAGAGTTGATATAATCTGTTTTATTGCAGATTATATTAACTCTATACAATCTACCTTTAGTTTTATGTCATGTTATCACATAAAATACAAATTCTCTACCCTGATAGGTATTTTTTTACTTTAACATCTCTAGCAAAATAAAACTTTTGCATTTTCAACAAATATTTTACTTTAGATTGCTTTTTTTTAATCTGCATTATACATATATAATGTTGTATAGGCCAAGTTCTTCTTTTATCTGGTCAGTACACAGACAGACAGGAAACCAAGTTCATATTGCCGCCATGGAAAGTGAGTTGGAGAATATGAAAATAAAAAAATTAAAATGGCAAACTTTTCAAATAAAACAGCAGCAAAGAGCAGGCTGATGTTCAAAACAATCATCTGACACTCTTGCCAAAAGAAAAAAAGTTAACGTCTAGGCTGCAAATATTTCATATGGATTTAATATGATACAAACACATTGTATGTAGGAAAATTCTTGTTGTGCACTGTTAAGTCTGGTGGGGTCCATTTCTTTTCAAAAGACTGCAGGATCCCTGCTAGAGTGCATTGCATTAATAACTAAAAAAAAACAACAACCTATAAATGCTTAACCAGTTATGAATTCAACCTCCTTCAACATACATTTTAATTCCTATAAAATATTATGAAATTGTGTTGGACTCTGGATGAGACCGTCCATTCAGGAATAGTCAATGATTTCTCCAGCCTTGTAATGTTGCAAAGAGGACTAAGTACTTCTGTGCAAAATTTTTCACAAAATATAAAAAGCTACCAACCTTTGCATCACCACCAGTTATTTTGTTACCACAAAGTATACTTACAATGATTTTTAGTGACAGATTAAAGAACTGCATTAAGAGACTAATTTATTTGAATGCTTTGTGAACCCGTTTTGTTTCTTGGCAAGGTTTCCAGTGATTTTAACCGGTGATGGTAATACACTAAAGGAGGGTTATCCAGGGGCCAGTACTGCCTGTTATTTTTCAAGTTAAAATTAGCCGGATATAAATGACTTCCTTTCCACCCTTCTGACTCCCAGAGAGACGGTTTCCACACACCTCGAGGGTGGACTCATCATGTGATGAGGACAGTAATGACAGTCTGTCTCCACGTCAGTCAGAAAGCCGGGGGCATTTGGTGGCTATTGAACCTGCATGCTCTTCAGCAGAGAAAATGGCTGGGAACAACCTCTCATCTCCAGCTAAGGTACAATTACATGTAGGAGAGGGAAGGTGAACTGGTAGTAGGCAATACAGTATATTAACATGTTGCACTGCATTTACTCAACCATGAAAACTTGTCATGTGTATCGCCCACCAGGTCCCTCCATCAGCTCTTCCTTTTCAGCTCTCAGCCATTCCTCTGAACTCCTCCATGCAGAGAACTTGTGGGAACACTCAAGCTCAGGTAAAACACAAAAAGACTCAAATCTGCATTTACTGAGTCTTGTCCACCCAGTTTTACTTCATGAGGTGTCAGCATAAAGCTGACCTTAACCACATGTCTTTCCTAATGCCAGCAGAAACTAATCCCTGACCATCTTACCCAGAAACAGAAGAAAACTAAGGACAACAAACCGAAGGTGGGTGTTCTTGCTTCAGTTTTAGAAATAAAATCTTGTTACCGGTATATTGAATGATGTTAATGTGTTTCTCTTTAGATCAAGAAGCTAAAATACCATCAGTACATTCCTCCTGACAAAAAAGGAGAAACAGAAACTCTTCCTAATCTGGACTCATCCTATGCCAAGATCCTCCAGCAGCAGCAGATCTTCCTTCAGCTTCAGATCCTCAGTCAGCAGCAGCATCACACCCTCCTCTCTACAGAACCCAAGTAAGCATAGAGCATATAGGGATTCAAGCGTAACTCCAGCCTCCTCTCCTGGCTCAAATGTCCAAGCCTGAAGCTAACCTGGAGGTTTTTTCACATTTGACTGTCTGTATCACCAGCAGGGATCAGGATCCACCTCCTTCCTCTTCTTCCAACTTGCCTTCCAATTCCTCCTCAGCTCAACTCTCTTCTGCTCCTTCAACAGTCACCTCTATTCAACACATACACAGTTGTCCAAGTTCTGCTTATTTAGGTGGGACAAAAGTTCTGTCACTGCATCTAGATCTGGATGAAATGAAGGTTAGTTTAGTCTTTCTTTTGAACTTTTTTTTTTAGTGTAATTTTATTTTAACAACTCAACTTCCCCCTGAAATGTTAAGTTTAACTTTACTAAGATCGCAAATACCCAACTCAATACATTTGTTGTCCCAAGTGGAGTTGAGGTCAAGGACAATTACAGAAATTAAAAAACCTATTCAAAAATCTGCATTAATATGCCTTTGGTGCTATTTTGATGGTGCGTGGGAAACCTGCTTTTTCAGATGGAAAACCATGAAAGTTGTGAATTGAAATCTTATAAACTCATTCATTATGACATTACTGCTAAATCCACCAGTACTACTGTATCCCAACAGCAGGATGTTGATACCACCATGCTAAGTCATTAGATTTATGACAAAGGAAATCGCAGGACATTTTATTTACAGCCATGTAGTCCATGTGTGGTTTAAATGCAAACATACAAAAACAATAAAACAAACAGCAACTACGTGGTAGCAAAACCAGGCCATAGCAAAATTATATATAAAGCATAAATTTAGAGTTATATGCAACAATACAAATAATAAAAAAATAAAACAAGCAACTGCAGAGTTTCTTCACACCAAAAGTCAAATGGTTTTGGTACAGGCTCTTTTGGTTTTGGACATTTTAACACCAACGCATCCCAGAATATTTAATGCTCCCAACAAGATATATGTCAATTGGGGTGGATTTTTGCCTCTCTTGATTTTCTGGCATTAAAACAGCCACCATGATACTGCCACCATCATGCCTGCCAACTGGAACAGTGTTCTTGAGTTTGAAAGACTCACCTTAATTTCACCAAACAAACCTTTTATTACTGACAGCAATTACTTAATTTTCTCTTTCTTTAGAATGTAGAATTCTTTGGCAGAAAATACCTGTAGGCAGCTGCGAAGTGAGCTTAAAGGGGTTGAGTTTGGATAAGGGGCTTCCTGTTTGGTCCAACTCCGTCTTGGTCTTTGATCATGTGAAACTTGCCCCGATCTGCATTGACAACGATGTTCCAGCATGGCCCAATCTACTTGGCCCTTTTTCTTCTAAGGGTAAAAGTCTGGGTCAAATAGTTGGATTCTGGTCACACATTATTGTTATATAAAAGACACAGCAAAACTAGTCCTACAAGCATACATCACACTAACATTAAGCTTCAGGATTGGCCCTAACTTCAACCCTGTTTAAAGTACATGAGCTGCTTTAAAGCTTGTTTTGTGCTAGGAATCAATCGATTGACATGAAAGCTATCATTTTGGACAAGAATGATGATGCTTATGATGAGAGTATGTAATATTTTGAAGGCTGCTATATGTATGGTTAAACAAAGAAGCCTTTATTCAGTGAATGTGTTTTTTTGAATAAAACAAACATGGAAGAACTCAGGACTGGATATAAAAAGAATCAGAGTGCATCAGGGGACCTGTAGAAAAGAAGGAAAGCAACAAAACAATGCTATTTAAGGTATCCAGAATTATTGAGACAGAAAGAAAAAAAAAAAGAACAAATCCCAATTTTAAAGCGAAGGTCAATTTATGTGAATAGAAGCTGAAGTTTGAAATGGGTTAATCTACCATCAAAGATAGTCACAGCGACAGTGATAGATTGGTCTGTCTTGTTCTCTTTCTCTTTTAATTCCTTTTCATTGTTCTGTTTTTCAAGCCCTCATCTATATTGCTTTTCCTCACTTTCCTCCCTCACTCTCAATTTGTCTTTTACTCCATCTTCTGCCAGGTCGCAGAACTAAAGTGTGAATTGAAGCTGCGCAGGTTGCCCGTCTCTGGTACCCGAAAGGATCTCATTGAGAGGTTGAGAAAATACCAGAAACTCAGTAGAGGCAGACGCACTACCTCCTCTCCAACAGCAGGGGGAATTAGAGAGCCAGAGCTGGAGAGGGCACCAGCATCCCTAAAAACAGGTGAAAGCAGCACATCACAAAAAAAGCAGAACTTCAGCTCTATCAGACATCTTTGTTCAATGGCCAGTTAGCTGACTGTGGTTTTACACGCACATGTAAGGTCTCTATTCTGTTTAGAATGGCTGACCAGACCTCTGTTAGGGTTTTTTTCTTCAGAATTTGCTCTGTAAAAGCCTGCTGTAGAGTATGTATGAAAGGTTAATTAGGTACCAAGAGAATAAATGAAAAGCGCTAACTCTACCTGAATCTTTCTGTATGGGTGATGCAGGTGGCAGTTTCAGTGCCAGTGAAACGTCTCCTCAACAGCTCTTGAGATGTGATGGAACCATCAAACCCTTAACCCGACCCAGCATGCTGAATGGCGCAATTCCAGAAGAGATCAGTTTTAACTCTGACCCGCTGGGAGAACTGGTCAGACACTTCAGCTAACCTACTTATAAAAAACTCATTGTTTAAATAGATTTACATTGAGATCAGTTGTTTTAGTCCTCTGTAGCACACTCTCACTGACGAGTGTGCTGATAAGTATTGTCTGATTTTTTATTTATGTTCTGACTAGTTTCAGATTTATATATATCAAGAAGTCTTTAAGCGACAGCATATTGATGTGCAATCAAACACTATTTTTCGTTTCTTACCATCCCAATTTGAGAATGTTCTGGAAAACATTTCAGCATGATTTCAAACCGGATTATGTAACAATTTGGAGTAGACGTGTATTTCAAATGGCCTATATTAAATTCTTGCTTGGTAACTGAACACGAAGTCAGCCCTGCTACTAACATGTATACAGCCTGATTTGTTGAGGAGCGGACAACCCTAATAACTGTCTATACCGAACAATAAACTACAGTAAAATACCACTTTAATTATTAGGTGTAGTTTTTTAATGATTTTGTTTATTTTGACATAAATTACACAACGTAGCCTGACCCAATTAAAATAAAAGAAAAAAAAGCTCCACATCTAATAATTGGTTCTATTATCCTTGGTGACCACAGCTGTTATCAGGCCTTTCCAATGATAAATATTAAATCAAAGGCCATTCTAAACAAGTATGTTTAAATCTTGATTTAAAATAACTTAGCTTCAGCACTCTTATAGTTTTCTGTAATTTTTTTTTCAGATTATTGTAGCATAAGAGCTAAAAGCTGCTCCATGTTTGGTTCCCAGTATACAGAGTAGACTGGAGCTGGAAAGCATGACAGGCCTGGTGATATACAGTACTGGCAAGAAGTTTGTAATGCATTTTAGTGATACACCATTGTGTGATTTATTTACAGAATAATTTTAAAGTATATTCCCTGGGATACTGGAGGGCTGTGTTAGGGCTTTAAAAGTGTGGTAATGCACTCCACTTTCCTAATGTCAGTGAGAACACAGGCAGCAGCGTTCTGGATCAGCTGCAGCTGCCTGATAAACAATTAAGGCTGTCCTGTTACGACACGATTGCGGGACTTACAATAGGTGCAATGAATCTCTCACATCCCAGATGGAGAATTTTGTTTTACTTTTCTTTGCTGAGTTGTTTCAGTTAAGCCATATTTGAAACCTTGAAGAATAATTGGCCTTGCCACTGCAGCTTACTAAGATAAATGTGCACACAATTCTCAGGCCACTTTAAAACCTTACCTTTTTGGTATTATTCAGAGCAGGACTGTCTGGATTATTGTGGAGAAGCATTACAACATCTCCTTAGCTGAATGCATTTTTAACCCTTTCCAGGGTATTTCATGATTATTTGCTACTTTTTAAAACATCTCTAAGCCTACTTAATGTTGTCAGACAGGTTTTATTTATATATAATTTCTTGACCCTTAAGGTCAATTCAGTAATCAGATCTGGGTCTGGCTAGTGATATTTAACCAGATATAGTTAATCATAATTCATTCATAATTTAAGGAGCAGGGCAGGTTGGCTTTATTCTCTAATTAAACAAAATAAAGAAAACGTTTATATCAAACTTCAGTTTTGTGTTTACTGAGCTATCCTTTTCTTCTGATCTAAAATGTGTTGATGATTGGAAATATGTGAATGTGACAAGAAGACAAACAAGCAAAAAACAAAACAGGCTTAAATCTTAGGCAACCAGATGGTTGGTTTGATGGTTGCATGAACCAGATGATGAAGACTTTTCACAGGCATTAAAAAAAGCAAACCAATGTTTCAGGGGTTATTTACTTTTATACGGCACTTAATCTAATTGTTTCCACATTTTTTTTAGCAGTTTATTTGTGCTCCTGAACAAATCAGGCATTCAATTTTACCCGATAAAACAATATAACCACCTCTAAGTGGGTGGGATGTATTAGGTAGCAAGTGAACATTTTCTCGAGTCAAATTGGGATGGATGGACACGAAGCTATCAAAAGTGATCCAACAAGCTACAGTGATGAACTCATGATAGAAATATGGTCGGCCAAGGCTCAATGATGGGGCTTGAGCCAACAGACCAGCAACTGTAGCTTAGATTAGTGGTGATTCTAATAGAAAGCTGTCAGAGTCACAACGTTTCCCTGCCTGTGGCGATTGGACCGTTGTTTCTTATGTCACTGGTTATATTCTGATGGTATGCCTACGCAATCAAGAGCACAGAATTAAATCGGTGTAGTGTATAGTAAAATTTAGATTTGACCATTTGTATATGATTTAAAAGATCATTACGAGCATTTTCATTTGATTCTCTTTGTAGATGAGTTCATCTCTTACAAATCTCAGTCTTCAGCCATTCACCGAAGCTTCATTCCCGGCTACCATTAAACAGGAGCCCCAATGCTCCAGCCCAACACCTTGTCACTTCCACTTAAAGTCTGCCTCTTTGCAGACACATAGCCTTGTCTCTTCCGATGCCCCCGCCACTACAGCTGCAGCCCCTCCTGTGACTACTGACAAAGACAGAATGCTGCAGGAGAAAGATAAGCAGATTGCAAAGCTTACCAGGATGCTGTGGCATAATCAGAGGCTGGTGGAGGAGCTGAAGATGCAACTGAAAAATAGTAACAGAGAAGTGCCAGAGGGACAAATTCTTAGAAAAGTGAAAGAAGAACCTCCTGAGAAGCAGAATGAGGCTTTTTCGACTAGTCTTCCACCATTTGATCCCAACATATCAATTATTTCACATGAAAAGGAGGCTACAAAGGTAACCATAAAAGAAGAAGCCATGGAGACAGAGATAGCAGCTGAGATACTTGTGCAATCACCAGATATGTTGCAGAAGTCCTCTACCAAAAGTCAGCAGACTCAGGATCAGATCAATCTCAAACTCCGGCCAAAGCAGGGGACCTTCCAGAGGCAGGTCTGTCTCCAGGATTCTGCTCGGCAGATGGCTCAGCAACACACCCTCAATAGGCTCCTTTTAATGCAGCAACAAAACACTAAAAAGCAGCAACACATGGTTCAGAGCCATGATAAGGTGCAAGAAACTCAACAACACCTCCATCCACAAAAGAAATCTCAAAAACTGCAGCTGCAGATACAAATGTCTCGAAATGGGGAAAGTCACCCTGCACAGCTCCAGCAGACACAACTGAAGACAGAGGTTCTGCTGAGGAAACCAAAAAGGGTTGAAGAGCAGCAGTTTGAGAGGTGCTACAAAGAGACTAAAAGACTGCAACCCATCCAGGTACAGGCCAAGATGCATCTACAACAGCAGGTACTAGTAGACGGAAAGAACCTCACACACTGTACATTGGGGGTTATCACCTCACTAATACAAGCTTTATTTAGGGAACATACAGTAAGTTGACTTGCATGGTTTGATACTATTTTGTCAAGAAATTCTTTCAAATGATCTTAAGAGGTTAAATTTAGAGGAAGCAAAAGAAATCAAGGCTTGCTATGATTTTATGTTGCTTTTTTTTAACTGAGCTATACTGTAGACCTCACGCATCAAAAAGTTTTTCTCAACCAGAAGTGAGACACTCCTGTCTCTCTGCAGGATCCTTTAAAAAACAACTGCAGCCTAGCTCTGGTCAGTGACAGCAAAAGTAAACATATCCAGATTCCTTTGACAAATCACATCTCTGGAGACCAGGGAAGTCACTCTGAAGGGAAGGCTTCAAATCACACTTTACTGCAGGTATGTTGGAGCAACAATGTGAATCCACACTGTAACTAACCCCTTGAACCCTACGGACCCACCGGCGGGTCCAGCTGCTACGTGACCTCGTAATTTTACCAAACCCCCAGTATTGATGTAAAAAACATATTTGGCACAGTTTGGTGACATTTTTGGATAAATGTGCCAAACTGGCCCCTCCGCCTAAGAAATTTCTCACTAATACCATTCTAAAATAAATATGATTCATCTGATTGAGTCCAAATTTGGTATATTTTTACACAACATTTAGATTTGAAAGTCTGTACTACTTTTTTGTGCTATAAATAATATTTTGGTAGTGTTTTGCAATGTTTATTTCAAAGAAAAAGTTGGCGAGGTTCAAAAAATGCAAAATATTTTGTATTTTGTCCCTAATATTTCAGGCAGGGTCAAAGCTACAATGGTGCTGACACCAGAAAACCATTCTATGATATCTTACCTTTACAGACGTACCAAAAGTTTCTTCTTAAATCTAATAGCTTTGAGGCTATAAGTTATTTACTTTTGTGTGTTTTTGTCAGGCAGAAATTTATTTATACCCCCTTAGGGTGTAAGAGGCTAAAGACCATGACAGCACAGCTGATTTAATGTCTATGCTCTTGGAACATCAAGCAGTCTCGCTGGTCTTGATAAAGGGCTTTGCAAAAATGTTTATATCTTTTGACCATTTTAACTTTACAATTAGACAAGGGTCTACTTGTTAGGTGAAAACAAATAGCTTCTCCAAATTATTATTTTATTTTAACAATAGTGTCAATTTTAATATATATTCATATTCAGAAAAAGGTTGTGCTTGATAGGTCCATCTGTCATTTTGAGGTTTTCTGTAGAGTCTCATAGTCTTGACAAAAATTCTTCATTAGATTTCATTGGGGTCTTGACTAGGCTGTTGGTATGTTGACCAAAAAGTTCCAATTTGTTCTTATCTGTCCAAACTACCTCCTTTCTGGTTTGTTGTCTTTACATAGCTTATGGCAATGAGTAGATTGTCATGATGGGTTTCAAAGTTTGCCCAGATGCAGAAACAACTCAGAGGCAGGTATGAAACTCAGATAGACTAACAGAGGAACTCAGAGGGACAAAACAAAGGGTATTCTCAGCATGGGGAATATCCAGCGGTCAGGTTAACCGGAACCCGAAACACTAGGGGGAAATCAGAGTGATGAGTCCATGGGAATTTCAGGCCAATACAAAAATAAAGTCAGGAAAGGACTCAGAAGACAACTGGTGGTTGCTCCTTGGTTCCCGTTAGTGCCTGTACATATAAGGAGAAACTTGGCTGGAAGGCAGACAGGCAGACTAGTAGTGGTCCATAGGAGCATCGGAGCGGACTGTCAACGAGCTTTCCTGAAGTGGACTGCAAACAGTAGCAGTGAATGTTTTCCTTTAATCTCAGAGAGACGAATGGTTCCATCCAAGGCTTGAAGGACCAGGGTTATCCAGAGGATCAGGAAGTAATCCTGCCAAAGACCACAAGGAGACAAAGTGTTTGATCTGAGGACTCAGAGAGACAAAAACTCAAAGTTAGACACTGCTAAGTTTTGAGAGGCTTGAGTACCCAATACTGGCAAACACTCTGGCGAAGAGGTGGTGACAGTCCGCTGCTCATATACTCCTCTGGTGATGACCCAACGAGCTGCAGGTGTGGGTGGGAAACCGGAAGGGCACCATCTAGTGGATGGAGACAAAAAAGAAACACAAAAACATTCCCCACAAACAGAAACCCTAACACAGATAGGACTTGTTGTTCTTCTGTTGTCACCATGGTCCTCGTGGCTGCTTCTCTCATCAATATATATATATATATATATATATATATATATATATATATATATATATATATATATATATATATATATATATATATATATATATATATATTAGTGGTGGGCCATCATTTAAGTTAATCGAGGTGATTTGATGTTAGATTTTTGGAATAATTTTATTGTTAAAGTGGGACATCTATAACTGGAAGTGGGACACTATATAATAACAAATGAGTAAAATTTGTTTATAAGAATCTTAAGTAAGAAGACGAAATTACATGTGATTTTGCAAACATAACAAACATTAAATTCTGGAGGTAGCACACACATATAATGAATGCCTTTGGCAGAATTTAAATGAGTGGTTTTAATTTATCTAGATTAAATATCATATAAAACTGGATTAAATACATACATTAAAGCTTTTACTTTTAATGAGACAAAATGTGTAATAATTAAAGTGTAATAACTACTTTTGCAAGATGCTGTAAATACAAGACGTAAGATAATGGGGGCTGTTAAAAAGCTTGTAGCTTTTCTTGATTGGAATTAGACCACCAAAACATCTAGCTTTAACATGCAAGTAAACATCTGGTGTTGTCCTCCCCAAAGTGAGCATTTTCATTGTATTCCAACTATTGTATATGTTTTTCTATTTTCCTTTTTCTTGAAGTACCATCTAAGCAAGACTACAATAGATACTTTCAGAGTCAATTTAATTGTCTCAGCGCAGTAATAGAACTAGAACAGCTTGTTAATGCTTCACTGTTAAAAGGGAAGTGTGATTGCTGTGAAATTAATGACATATGCTGTTTGAAACAATAGAAGGGGTGCTTGAGAAGGGTCTGACACAGGCCTGATGTGATTATTATTTTTACCCTGCTAATTACCCTAACAGCATACTCCATTACTATGATTAATGGTGTTAATAGCTGATGAAAAAGGACTTTATTGCATCTTGGTTCATGGAGGCTTCCGTGTACCCTCTTTATTTTCAAAACATACAGGAAGTGACTGCCTTTTAGAAATCCTGGAATGAAATTGTTACATCCATTTCTATTTTAAACATTATCCTAAAACTTGCAAATGAAGCCAAATGAAGAAAAAAATGATTGCTATATTTTATTATTTTATTTATACCTTGACTTAATTTCATTAATCCGAGAATGAAGCACATCAGGAATCAGTGGAGCAACCATTGCAGGAAGCAATATCATCAGGTCTGCAATGGAAGAAATCCTCCTCCCCGTTCTATCAGACTGTGAGCAACCATAACATTCAAAGTTATTATTTCTTTAATTATTTGCAATATTTATTTATTTTTTATTTCAATAATGTAAAACAGGAAATGTTTCCTGGTCTGGATGTCTTGCTGAGTCCACTGTCTCCAGATTCTCTTCAAGCAGCAGCCTGGCAATCTCCTGATAAGGTATGACCCAAGACAAGTCTGACTCTGCAATTTCCTAAGTGATATATTTTCTTTCCAATAGTTCTGTTGTATGATGGTAAAATCTTTTGTTCTGTGTCTGTTATTAGCCCAAAAACAATGAGGATTTCATCGACATCATCCTGCAGGACGGAGGTACAGCAACTGTCTAAAATGAATAACTGTCTTTCCTGTTAGAACTATAATAAAACTACATAATATATAAGTATTCAAAATTGAATAAATAATATAATAATTTCATAAAAAGAAAACACTTACCCATATTAGATCTACAGCTTCAACTACCTGGAAAGTATGTAATGAGTTTGTGCTTATTCCCTTTTTCTTTTTACACCTTTTGTCATGATTTAACTAAAGATCAGACCCAAATGCAGATAAACCATTACAGAGAGACCAGGGAAAAAGTTTAACAGGTTTATTAAGAAGCTTGTGGAGGTTCCAGTGTTTCTCTGAACACTGCTCAACCGGAAGTTTCCAGAAAGTGGTTGACTCTTTGACTCCAGTTGGTGTGGGGTGTTCCAGTGTTTGCGTCATTCGGTGGAGGGGGGACAGGGTTACCCAGAATGCGGTTGTAGGAGAACGGAGGAACTTACTGCCACTCAGATTTCCGGCGGTACTTGAATGGTTTCTTGTGGAGATTGATCCTCTGCTCAGAGAGAAACCCCAGACAATCCTTGGGGGAAAAGGTAGATCGAAACCACAAACTTGAATCCTCAGCTCAGTTTGGTTCTAAGAAGATCCTTCCTGGGGAGTGAAGGTCCGAAACGTCCAGTTTGCAGGATGACCTCCTGCCGAGAGGCAAAGACAAAAATAGCGAGATTAAAATTTAGGCAGACAAAAACTCAGTTTGACTCAGCAAAACTCAACTTGGCGAGTTTTGGATCAGCTGCACCTGCTGGACTGATTATTTAGCCAAACCTATGGAGACAATAAATGCAGAATGAGTTTTTCTAGATCCTGCTTTGACATTAGTGCTTTGCAGGTGATAAAAGGCAGACTTAGTAACTGCCTTTACTCTATGTGCCTCTGAAGGTTCAGGTTTGGGTCCATCATGACACCAAGATTTTGTCCATAATCAGTTGTTTCCGGCTGTATTAGCTAAAGCTGTGAGCTAACTCTGGATGCCTCTTCTTTGGTCAGAAGATTGTTACCTTTGTTTTGTTTTTACTTGGAGAAAAGTAAAGCACATCCTGCATGGGACTTTTCTGGTCTCTAATTTAAACTTCCCCACAGGCACATAAAAGTCCCTATCCTTAAACTAAGATTTAAACCAGTCAAGTTCTTTACCAGAAAGGCAATCTAGTTTTCTGGACACTCTAATAAAATGAAGTGATGAACAGTGTCAGACGCTGCACTGAGGTCCAATAATACAAACACCATGGTTCTTCCACAGTCTGAATTTATTCAGATGTAATTGAACACCTTAATCAGTGCAGGCTCTGTGCTGTGGTTAGCATGGAAACCTGACTGGAAGATATCAAAGCAGCTGGCCATTGTTAGAAATGCATTTAACTGTTGAAACACAATTGTTTCAATAACCTAGGTTTGAGATGGGCCTGTAGTTCTGCAGGATCGATTTCTCAGAGCTTCTCTTTTTCAACAATGGTTGGATTAATTGCTGTTAATAAGGTCTGCAAAAGTGTTCATTCCCGACAAAAGTAAGAGCCTATACTAATGGTGGCTATTGTAATGCTACCTTACTTCTTCTTGAAAAGGATGCACATATATCTGCCTTTACATGTAAAAAAAAACGTGTGATGTTCTATAACATGTAACCCTATTAAAACACATTGATGCTTGTAGTAATATAATTATTTAGGATGTACAAATACTTTTGCAAGGCACTGAAAGATGGTCTTTTTTTCTTTCAGAAGCACCCAACACACTGAAAGTTTCCCAGGACAGTTTTGCTTCTTCATCTTCTCCATCACCTCTTCAGCTCCCACTGTCTCCACCCAACTCACCAAGTAGTGATACCCAACAACCTGGCTCTCCCCAGCAACATGAGCCTTGGACACCAGCCAAAACCACAGATCATAAACTACACTTAGGTCTGTCTGGTAATGCACAACTAGAGGACTTTCTGGAAAGCAACACAGGGAAGTCCCTTCTAGGCGTGGAACCAGGAGGCCTACTAACCTTGATTGATGATCTGCATAGCCAAATGCTATACACTGCCAGCATCCTGGACATCCCCTCAGCTCCTATGAGTTCTTTGGACAAGGCTAGTGACAGTGGACAGAGACTGGACAGTAAGGGGTGGCTTAGCTTCACTACACAAGGAGAGAGTGAATGGGAAAGTCAGACGCTGACCCCACTAGTTCCCCAAATACCCCCAAGTGTTTTCTCAGGAGAATTCATAGATAGTTCTGACCTTCATATTGACTGGGACTCCTGAACGCCTGTTGAGCTGTCAGAAAACTGTTTGTTATGCAACAAAACCAACTCATGAACGCCACAAAATGCAATTAGTACCCGAAGTTTAAGTTTGAACTTCCCCTTGTTGGCCCGACATTTTTTGGGAAAGGTTGAAATGCCATATCAAACTGCTATTTAAGATGCTTAATGTTAAGCCTACAGGCATTTTCTTTATATTTGTTAGAAGTACGCATGGGTGGGTTACCGGTTTACAGTGTATTCCAATATAAAAAAAAATCACGATTTTAAAACTGCTTTTCCTGCAGTATAGGTGTTTTTGATTGTTAAACCCTCCAACAGCAAAAGCAATCAGATTCCTTACCTTGAATGTAGCAGCTGCTGCAGCATTATGCCTACTCCCTCTACCGCACCCCTGTAGCTGCTAGCTCTGCTCTGCTTATAGATTAATGGTGAGGGAGGCGAGCACCCTGAACTTGTATCCCCACCTAAAAGTCGGCTGTATGGGAACATTTCGACTACCTAAAGAGGGCAGGCTTGGAGGAAGAAGGTATTGCTCTACTTGAAAGCTGAAAGTCATGCTTTAAGACAATGGCAGTCAGAGAAGATTATACTGTATCTACTGGAGCATTACCAGTTGCCATATGTTAAATTTAAAGGTTACGTTTTTAAACAAGCAAGTGTCAGGCATTAGTTTGCCACATATACCGTTGTCTTACTGAGGTCGAAAGCTTGAACGATGAACTTGTCACAGTTTTTACAGCTGGAGCTTTTTAAGAGTGGTTTCTTTTTCTTTTTTTTTTTTAATCCTTTGTAAGTGAAATGAGAAAGCACCAATTGTCTCCAAAGCTTTAGCTGGGCATTTTGTGTACACCTTTCATTTTTGTTGCCTCTTTGTAGATGTAATGACTTATATATCTATCTATTTTAAACACCACTTATGAATCTAATAAAAACACCCATAATTAACTTTCTTAACCAACTTGCAAACACGAGTTAAGTACAAAACAACTATGAATGTGCATGCTAAAGCAGGGTGACATCCTGCAAGTGGGTGAAATGCCTGCATGACACCTGTGGTCTAAAATGCGCTTCAACACACAACTTAAGTTAACTATTAATATATCATCATGCTTAAGCTTTTTGTTTCTTAAGTAATTTACCATTATTGGTAAAATACCATTATTTGGAAATGTAAACATAATATTGTGATACTGTGAAACTGAAATTTTCACTCATACCTTTAGAATTTCATACAGCCAATGCCTAGTCATAAATTAACCTTATGCCCAAAGCATTGTATCCTAAATAATATTTACTATTTACATATTTACACTACAAAATGTCTTCATGCCACCAAATGGATATTACACGATTCCACCTAGCAGTAGAGGTACAATTGGTTTAACATTTGATTCTAAAAATTTGTCCTGTTTAAACACCAGATTAAGGTCCCATCAATTTTTAGATAAAGAATCATGTGAATAGTCAAATTGGGCTGTTTGGGGTTAATCAAGAATATAGTAGATGAAGTGTGGGTTGTGTGGCTATGGCTTTTACTTTCATTTGTGGTGAAGTGCTTACACCTCTAGATTGCACATAAACAGATTGATGGGAGACAGAAAGGGTTGAGTTTTGCAGTTAAGCTGAAATGCAAACTGTATTTTTTAAGCCATGGTATTGCATTTAGTAATTTTTAAGTTATGGTATTGCATTTAGAGATGTTAAGCAGAAGGAACATGTACCAAATTATCTTTAAAACATAAAAAAAATATCATTTTTTGTGGTTGATTTTTTTAGGAGGCTGAAATTAGGATTCACAGTGCTCTGTGCATTCTCTCATGCTGCTAAACCATTTGTGGAGTTACAAAATCCTCCCATGTGCATACAGTAGGAATATTAGGCAAATTGTTGAGAAAAATCAGAATGCAGATGTAATATCTGTGGCATGGCCAGGAAAATAGTAGGAAAGGCCTTAGTGTGCGGGGAAATGATGAAGGTTGTCCAGATTTCTGCAACCTTCCCTATTGGTACTCTGGATCCGTCCAAAGGGAGACCTTATGTGATATATCACATATTGATTACTTTTGTTTGACTCCCTTAATTGTTGGACTGTTTGGTTGAGTTTGTTAAAATGCTTTGTACCTTCCCGAGTTTTACCTACACCCTTTACTGTCTCACATAATACAAATATCTTTCTTTTTTAGTACAGCAAACCCCAATGTGGTAGGACAAGACTTATATGAAGACTTTTGTTTTGCCTTTCATTTTTTTCTGAGTGAAATGTTAGCTTTGTATCTGTCCTAGTATCTGATAACATTTTGCTGTCATCATTTGTTTAACCCTTGATATGTGGCTATCATAAGTTCATTATGCAGCTTGAATGTTATATTTATATTCCTTATTTGTACACTGAAAATATAATAAATGCCCTAGACTTTAAACATTTTTTCATCCATCCATCCATCCATCCATCCATCCATCCATCCATCCATCCATCCATCCATCCATCCATCCATCCATCCATCCATCCATCCACATTACAGGTATTAAACTGAGGGTGCTCTCAACTAAAACAGAGACATGACATTGACCAATCAAAATTAGAGTAGATCTGGTCTCTGTAACTTCTATAAGAACAGCACAAGCATAAAATTTGAGAACAACTCCCTGCAGTTAATTTGCCTATTATTGCTTGTATCCCTTGTCCTTAAATTAAAGGCACATCATGGTACTTTTGGCCACTAGGGGCGCTAGACTTGTAACTGCTCAGATTTTTCTTTTACTAAATGAAAACATTAACAAAGATATATGACTGCATAGTAGGAGCAAAGTGTTAACTTACCAGTCTATAAATAAGTTGAGAAAAGAGAATCAGTTTTACATCTGAATTCTTTCAGCCTGTGCCAGGGGCGTTGCTAGGCACAAAGCTTTACTGGGCCACTGGCCCCCTAGTGCATATGCCCCTCCTTCCATACACAAATACAGACAAGCACACTGCCCCACCCTGATACATTCCTACCAAAATTACCAGTTGAGATATTAATGAGTGTAAGAGCATATTTGTTTTAACAAACATGAACATTTTCAACATTGCAGCTATAAAAAAATAAGACATCACCAACTTTAATAAATAAAAAGCTTCCTTATACACATTCTGAAGTAATCATTAATTCCTAGGTTTCAGAGTTTTAGTTCAGGTGAAAGTTTAACTCAACATGAACTAAGTTTTTATTTTATTTTATGAGCATTAAAGTGTTGCCAGTGTCTATATTACCTCCAGTAAATTTGCTGATAAATGCGTTCAACCAATCAATGATCTCCTTGTGATTGGTCATAAGCTATACATTATTTATAACACAAAGAGTAACATACTAACTCAAGCTAATTTAAGGTGGATACACTTTTTCTTCAACGTTGGTTAGATATATTGACTGTGTTTTTGGGCTTGGCACAAAGAAATGGACGAGAATCGGAAGATCGTTGGGTCATTGTGCCAAAAGCTAAACCTGCCAGTGGGGCTAGTTACCATGGTAACATACCCTGAACAGCTTTTTGGGAAACAATGACATGCCCTTTCAATGAAGACCTGATATAATTCAGAGGGGAAGAGACCTTCAACAAAACAACATCCCATGAAAGGAACTTAAAAACCAAAAAGCAGTTAAAACAAAATATGTCACGATTGGGTTGAGGTTTTGAGGACCCAAATGCAGAGATTAGTTAGAGATGAGTTTTGGTGATTTAATGATGTACTCACAGTCAACTGAAGAGGAAATCTGGAAAATACAAAATAACAAATACAGAAAAAAACAGAATCTAGGAGACATCAGGGAAACATACATGAGGAGCCAGGAAAAGACGAGAAACCAGCACTGAGTAACTGCAGAGGGAGAGTATATATAAGAGACAGAACAAAGACTGGACTAATGAGCTGACAAGGAACAGGTGTGGATGGGAGAAAGAGTTTGGTGTTACGTGACAGATTCGGATGTGCATGGTGCATGTTTCTAAGTCCCTTGTGGAGAAATTATCTGGGTCATGAGTAGCGAGGAAACAGGAAGCGATTGTTGTGGGATGGAAGAAGGAAATAGCAAAAAAGAAGAAGACTGGAAGAGAGTAGGGTCAAAAAATGAAACAAAGCGGGAAAATGCAGAGACCAATTGAAGGGAAGTGCAGTTCAGAAAAATCAAGTGATGAGCAATCTGGAAATTCCATGGAAAAACTAAATGATTACAAAGTCATATTCAAACTAGGTAATCAGGGAGACTCCTTTGCAGATTGGAAGCTGGTTCAGTTAACAAAAACGATAAACAAACTTGTAGGAGAAGTCCGAAGTGCCAGAATACTCTATAGTGGAGACCTGTTAATAAACTGCAGAGACAGCGCTCAACAAGGCAAAGCCATACGAATTAACAACATTAAGGGGGAAAGAGTTCAGTGCAGTTGGTGGAGAACAAAAGGATTAGCAGGGGAGTGATTGGAGGAGTTCCTTTAAAAGTAACTGATAAAGAGATTCTAGAAAACATAGGTGGTGCAAAAGTATAAAAGGTGAAATAGAGAAAGTTATGATCACTTATCAGTGTTGATCAAATTTGAGGAAGAGCAGTTACCGAGTAAAGTTTTCCTTGGATATGAGCTACAATGTGAAAATCTAAAATCCTCCACCACTGAGATGTTTTAAATGCCAAAGATCTGGTCACATAGCAGCAGTATGTAAGGGTAAACAACGATCTGGAAGGTGTGCCGGAGAGCATGAATATGGAAAGTGTGGTAAAGAAGTAAAAATTAAATGGTGTAACTGTGGTGGAGAACATACTGCTGCATATCACGGTTGTGAAGTGAGCAAAAGATCTGAGGAGATCAGAAAAAGGAAATTAGAGCTCAGAATAAGTTATGCTGAAGCTGCAAAAAGAATCCCATCCCAGTCAGAAAGACCCAAACCAACAGTGGCCCAAATGAAAAGTGCAAAACCTCTGGAGGTGTGCCCCAAAAATGCAGAAGACTCATTGATTCTTAAAAAGAAGGATTTTGTACTGTTCATGATAGAAGTGATCAGTTGTGCTGCTCAGACGACAAAGAAGACAGAAAAATCTAAATAATAGTAAAGGCTGCGGAAAAATTGCCTTGAAGCGAAAGATTTAAACTGGGAAACGATTGAAAGTATGATGGGAAAATGAGCAGGACCATCAGAAACTGGCAGAATGACATATGCATAAAGATAGATTAGTAATTATGAGGAAAAATTTGATTATGTAATTTATTATGTTGGGTTAAAACATACAGTTTGGAAAACTATTACTTTATTTTATTTTTGTTTGTTTTTTTTGTTTTTTTTTTCTGGGGATTTGTCTTGTTTGCTGTTTCCTCATTATCCTTATCAGTTGGTGGAGGTAATGCACTTAAAATAGTTTGCCAACCACCATGAACAAAATTACAAGAAGAAAGGTGTGGATAGGAGCATCTATATAATCTGCTTTTATGTCAATTAACAGACAAAAACAACTTTCCCGTGTTTTGTGGTATTGTGCATATTTTATATTTAACGTTAGCTTTAGTTATTTTCGTACTTCTTCTTTTTTATATTTGTTCATAGTATTTTAAAATAGAAAACCTATGTCAGCTGCACAATAAATATTAGTTAGTATTTTTATTATTGGTATTTTAATATAGAAAAGCTCCCTTAAAGAAACTGCTGAGTTTGTTAGTGTCACGATTTGGTGTTGGATTGAGGACCCAAAAGCAGAGGCAAGTGAGGCAGAGGTGAATTTAGGTGGGTTTAATGAGGTCCACAGGTACAGAGGCAGGAATCAAAAAATCCAACAAAAACAACAAAAGAAACCAGAACCAAGGGGACATCAAGGGAAACCAAACTCTAGGAGCCAGGGAGAGACGAGGTAAGCAGACAGACGTGAGACGAGGATCCAGCAAACAGGAACTGAAGAGGGAGGGCTTTTAAAGGGGACAGAGACAAAGAGAGGGCTAACGAGAGGATTGAAAACAGGTGAGGACAGAGCAGAAAACAGAGCTAGGGATAGAGGACACAAGAGGGCAGCAGAGGACAACAAATGGAAAACCTGGAAGACAGGAACTAACAAGAACACCACAAAATAATAATTAAACACTAAAACAAAGAGCAAAGTAAAACACCACAGTGAGAAATTCAAAGATGTAATAGTAATCTTCTACAGGGCATCAGACTGTGGGTGATCCATAGTCATTTACCTTTGCTAAATTTCTGAAAATGTAAATAGGATGTTGGGGCCAGCCTGTGACGGATCAGTGACCTATCCATGCTTTTTACCCTGCCTTTAACCCATAGACTTCTAGAGAGAAGCACCAGAAAACTGTGACCCTAAAGCAGGCACAGCACGTGAAACAGCAGTAATTGTGCAGATGCTTCGATGAGAGCAGCAGTGTGGCAGGGTCTGACTGTGTACAGTAGTGCGACTATGCTGGTTTGCAAAAAAAAAAAATTAAATAAAAATAAGCATGCTTTTTTGGTACAATTTGCGAGGTGAAAAAGGTTAAATGGTGAAGCATATTATTTATGACGGTCATGATTCTGCACTTTTTGGTTCTGTTTCAGTTTTCTTTTGGATTTTTCAGTTCCACTTTAATTCATTTCTTTCCATGTTTTCCAGTTCATTGGTTTCATTTCCATTTTGTGTTGTTTTCTGGTTGTATATGAGTTCTTATGTATTTCTTGTTTACCCTCTTTGCCCTCTTATGTCACTCTCCTTCCCCTAGCTCCCTTCTAGATTCTTCTGTCCACACCTGCTCCCAATCAGTTGATTACCTTCATTCTTTGTTCTGTTTGACATATATACTCCTCCTCTCCAGTTACTGTTTGCTTACTCCTCATTGTTTCTTGGCTCCTCATATGTGTTTTCCCTGATGCATTTTGTTTTTTTGGTTTTCTGCATTTTGTGTTTGGAGTTTGATTCTGTTGCCTTAAATCCTGCATTAAATCTGCAAGAGACCACCTCAAATTCCATCTCTGCATTTGGGTCCTCTAGAATTATCCATTCCTGCAACTCCCACACAATTATAATCAGACCAAGGCAGCTTCATGATTTGGATGGAAATTAAAAAGCTTACAGGAACCAAATTAACGGCAGTGGAACAGTATAGAAGTCCAACACAAGAATCCAGCAAGAGAGGAATAACAAAATTAGTAACCTAAATAATCAGCTGTGGTGATTTACGAAAATATAAGACTAATTTTACAGCAGAATATACTAAAGTATGTCCACTTCTAGTGAAGGCGAAGAATGATGAAGTGTGAATTGCTCAAGTGCGATGAAGTGTGTATGGGGCACGGTGCGGGTTGGTTGTCTTCGGTGGCTTCAAACAAAAAACAAAATCCTGGATGATTTTGAAATTTCCCCCAGATAGATAGATTAGGTATGAGAAGTAGGACAGGAAAAATGAGACGTCTGGT